TATATATATATATATATATATATATATATATATATATATATATATATATATATATATATTTACAGTTGTTTTTAAAATAGATATTAAAAAAAGCGTATAAACAACATAATATTGGGACTATCTAGATCCAGTCTCTCTTATAAGAACGTCAGTATTGGTATTTTAGTTAGTTTGCAACGAACTATCAGTAAGGTAAGCAACTTCAAATTTCCCAATCTTAAGAACTTGAAGTAATCAAAAAGCGAGTAGAATGTAACTAATTATTAAAAAAAGAGTTATTTACATAAATTTGATATACGAGGTAACGCACTGAAAACAGAAAGAAGTTTTTATAGCGGTTATATGTACATAACAGTTATCATTGTTTTGTTTTCCTTTCAAGCTGCGTCTGTCCTTCGATCTTAGTAGAATATAACGATAGTTATTTATTTCTCCTAAAATAGGTGTGCATGTATTGTAAAACCAGTTTTTCTATTTAAAATAATCTCGTTAATTTGCCCATCTCTTTTTTTCACATTTTATCATGATATAAACAAAAAATATAGAAGAACGAGACGCACATTTTCATTTTACATGTATTCAAAAATTTTCTCAGGTAAATTATTCGTGCAGATATTTGTAGTGGAAATGGATGTGTCGTCTTTAAAACTACTTTTCGGGGTCGTCCTGATTTTTACCACAACAATTACTTATACGACGGGATGGACTCATGTTGAAAATTGTTCAAACGTTTCTCCGTATTTATCGACCAATGCAATAATGCCAATAAGATATGACGTCAATCTCACAATAAAATCGTATGCGAATATTATAAGAGGCATAATGAATATTACGATTGACGTGAAAATATTGTCGAGACGGATAAACCTGCATGCTCGTGGAATAGACTTGGTTCCTCACAACATAATAATTAAATCGATAGATAGTCAAGAAAGTGAAGTAAATAAATTGCTTCATTACACAAATTGTGAAAGTATTGACACTCTTGTTTTACTGTTTGATCACTTTATAAAACCTGGACTATATCTGTTACAATTTGAATTCGCTACACTTTTAAATAATGGCAATACAGTCACGTTACGTTATCCATATTTACGGAATAACGTAATTGGAGTGTAAGTATATATCAATATAATATTATAAATACACTAGTATAATCATCATTATTTGTTATTGATTATTGTTCACTTTTCTACCATTTCTGTTTTTCTTTCGTGCTACACTTTTATACATTAATATTGTAATTTATAATAAAATAGTTTATATTTTACCGTGGGTAAATCATCGAAAAGAATAGAATAAAATTTTCTATTGAGAGGAACTTTGCGCAAAATTATAAAAATATTCATGCGTGTAGATTTTGCATAGTGTATTGAAATATATCATCATGTCATTTATGAATAAAACTCTCGATTATTAAACAAATTTAGAATACTATTTCAACATTTTTTATAGAATCAAAATATAAAGAATTCTTAATAATTTTTGGCACAGTATGAGAAATTTCTTCATTATTGTTCAACACGTCAAATTTTATATAATGTGTGTGCATACATACATACATACACACACACGCACATATATATATATATATATATATATATATATATATATATATATATATATATATTAATATTTATATATTTCTATACGCGCCCACATCCCAATCATTTTTGTATCTGTATTATATAATGACTGAAATTTTATTAATATGCTATATACTTCTTGCTGTAATGTAATAGGTGGATGTTTATGAATCTACATACACATAGTTCGATACGAGGACTGTTTCCATGCTGGGATCAACCAGAAGTAAAAGCATCCTTTAACATTTCAATCAAGCATCCTATAGAATACACGGCTTTTTTGAATTTACCTAGAATGAATGAAATGTTTCATCATAATGTTGATGCTATTATGACATTGACAACTTTCTATGAGATTCCATCGATACCTACGTATCTTTTGGGGTTTGTAATGGTCAATGATGTTGTGAAAACTTCTAGTGTTTCTAGTGGTATTAATTCTGTATGGCACAGACCGGAAGTGTCAAAAGCAATGAAATTGGCATTGGAAGTGGCTCAATATATTACATTAGAGATTTCTACCAAGACAAATTTGCGTCTGTCAGTAATTGGGAATATTAATCACATCATACTTTTGAATAGTCCACTGAAGTCCATGGGACGACCCGGACTGATTATTTACAGGTACACAACATGCTCAGAATATTCTTCAATTAAGTTTTTATCTATTTCCTAATTTGTCGTATCAAACTCCTTTTAATTTTTTTCTGCCAAAGCTGCTTTCCAAATTAAACTTTTAATATTATTTACATCTATTTGATGATCTACTCTCTATTAAAATAACATTAAATTTCCAAAATAAAAAAAACTAGTAAAAAAGAGTGAAAGAAGGATATATCCAAAGTCTTTGAGAGTGTAAGTAAATGTTTTAAAAAAATATATATAATATTATAAATATAAAGTGGACACACACACCTATACAAATGATTCATCATTTTCATATATTAATTGCAAATATATATATATATATATATATATATATATATATATATATAATAGAATCTCCTAATTATTTTCTTTCCTTCATTTTCTGTTTATAAGTTTTCCTAAAATTTCAAGTGTATTAATAATATTAGACTTGTGTACTTCTTATAGAAGTAATATACTTCTTATAGAAGTAACTTCTTTTTAGAAGATCTAATAAATTGCAAATTCCCTTAAACATTTCCATTATTGTGTTCTAACAGTTGGATTAGTATGTGAAATTTGGAACATTTGTATATTCCTATTATTCATGTCGCAAATTTGTAAAACAGCGATATATATAAGATAGTTACGCTACTAGAATACGAATGTGAATATTAAAAGTGTTATATGAAATTTTAAAGTTTTCTATAGAAAGAGAATAAAGAAATCAAGAAATTCTATTACATATCTTTTAACAAAAAATACGTCAAAAATATAAGTAAATTATTATTCACACTGTATGGGTAGAATAAATAAATGCAGATTTAAGTAAATTATGGAAAGTACGGAAATGTGCTAAATCCTGCATACTCATGGCAAAGAGATTTTTGACATAAGTACAATTTTTCTAATTTATAGAGAACGAGATGTCATATTCGACAAAGATCTCGATATGCCCGGCCAACATATTGATGTTACAAAGTTAATAACGTACGAAACAACGCGTCAATGGTTTGACCATTTAGTCGGCCCGCATAGATACTCTGATTTGTGGATACACAAGATACTCTCGTCATTTTACAGTTATTACATCCCATCTAAGGTTATTTCATGTATCGGTATTAATAAAACGCGAACTACTCTCTTTTGCAGTTAAATGCAGTTCATGTCGTAAATATCATTAAGTTTCTGCAAATACACATGTGCGCTTTTCATTTTCAATGACGAGGTAGTGCTCGTTGATTCCATTAATACAAACATCTGTATTAAAATCATATTAAATTGATCGTAAAAAATATTGTCTTTCAGATTTGGGAAGAAGACAGATTTATGGAATTGTTCGTAGTTCAAAATCTACCGTCTGCTTTAGATAGTGACAATATCTTAAATATAGAAGCTATTATGCACGAATTTAACGACATTAACGAAATTGATGCACTACTTTATCCTCGGCTGTACAAAACAGGTAAAACTCACTAAATAAAGCTAATGGATCATTCTAAATTAATTTAAATTAATATACATTATCATTTAAATTATCTTAGGAGCCGCAATAATTCGTATGTTGTTCCATCTTGTTACTCCGAAAAAATTTGAAATGGCCATCAGTAGTTATTTAACCGGGTGAGTATAATACATTCTGATATTATAATTATAATGTTATACTGTTATTTACTTGAAAACCGATCATGCGTTTAGTCGTTGCGTCATTCTTCCGAGAAATTTATTTCGCAGATTGTCCGAGAAATGCGATTCTTTATTGAATTATAACACATTATTTAAAAATTTCATGCACGTACACTAAATTATGTAAATAGAACAATTGAATGACAGCATCAATATATTTTTTTCCCAGTAAATCTATTGAAAAAATTACCGACTGTCAACAACGTTTAAATTAATATTTTTTGTATTATTATTTTTTTGTATTATTATTTTTTATCAAATAGTACCACGGACTTGTGGACTAATCTCGAAGAGGTTCATCCCCTGAAAACAAGTAACGGCTATACTATAAAAGACCTAATGAATTTATGGTTAACAACGAAACATTTCCCTGAGCTGCACGTTATTCGTAATTTTGGTAATAAGACTGCGAGGTGCCAAGCGATATTTCGTGAAATGAAGATGAATCATTGGAAAATACCTATAACTTATATTACGCAGTCAAATCTTATTTCTAACAATATTTCGAATGTCACTTGGTATCAGTGGCCAAACGACATAATTATTACTGATATTGATCCTGAAGATTTTATTTTAGTTAATGTAGAACATGTTGGTGAGTATAAACAGCAGAATTTATCAGTATCGTTATGTTTTATTCTACGTTTAGTTTAAAGTTTAACGTTTATATTTTCGTGCTTTTTGATTTTTTCTTAAGAAAAATCGTAATGTGATTATGAAGGTTACTGCATTTACAGAATATTATATAAAATAAAATAATCATTACTGATTATTGTCAATATATATACACTGAGAAAAAAATTTACTAAATTTAAAAAAACGTTTGTTTAGATAGTACTGCGAAAATATTTGTTTAAATTAAGTAATTATTTTCTAAAATTAAATAAAGAAGTTTTAAATATAAATTTGTTCCTTTAATTTTAGAAAATAATTACTTAATTTAAACAAATATCTTCAACAGTACTATCCAAACAAACGTTTTTTGAAATTTAGTAAATTTTTTCTCAGTGTATAAAAAGTTTTGTACAAGTACGATTAATATACATATATATGTACATACACGCACGTATATACACACATACATACATTCTCTCCCTCATATAATATAGTTCTTCACTATAAAGTAAATTTCATTAAACATGTCCAATCGTTTATATTGAAAATGCTTAAAATCTGTACTTTGCAAAGAAGAAAACTAATCGTTCAGAAAAATTACCGATTAAATAAAATGAAAAGTTTTATAGACTAATATGTTCCATTTCTCTTATGACAGGATATTATCGTGTTGTTTACGATGACAAGAGTTGGTATAAAATTTCAGCATTTCTACAGTTTGAAAACTTTTTAAAAATACCTGTTCTCAATCGCGCTCAATTGATTAGCGATGTGTATTATTTTACGGCAAAAGGTGATATCCATATAAGTGTATTTTTGAACATTATTAAATATTTAAAGTGGGAAAAGGACTTTATAGCGTGGCATTCTATGTTTAATATTTTGTCGTATATGTCGACCTTCTTCGAATATTCAGAGAGCAAATTTATAAAGGTGAGTAGCAACAAATTCCTCTAATGAGTTTCATTGTTATTTTACATGCACTGTTTGTCAAAATGATTAAAGAAACTTGGAAAGGTATAGAGCTATTTGTAACATTGAAAAGATTTTATCAATCGCTTATATATCGGTGTAGCTATGATGTCTTTGCAAATTGCAAGATACAAGCACAAGAATAATCTTAGGTGACGACTTGCAGCCATATCTTTTGGAAATTCTGGATGGAATTGTTAAAAACGATGATTACATATTTCGAGATTATGATGATAATGCTATGCCGCAGGCATTAAGAATGTTAGCAATAAGATGGGCCTGTAAACTCGGTCATATCGGGTGCAAGAAAGCCGCAACCGCTAAATTGATCACAAATCTTAAGAGCCTTAAAGGAAACAAGTAATTTTATTCATAGTCACTATTTACTTTTTTGACATATTTACTCAATATCGTGAAACAAAGTCGAGGGCTATGTTTCCATTATATGTGTTTATTTCTTTCTGCGTATACCGTAGCGTACCGTCGCGGTGGAAAGATTGGGTATTTTGTACGGGGATGATGTTGGCAAATAAGACAATTTGGAATATTATTCTGGATGAAGCTGAACGCTACAACAATATTATGTTTTTCAAGTACTTGTCTTGTACTGATGATGAAGAGATTATCCTACATTACGTGGATTATTTACATGGAGAGAAAGTTGAAGAAAAATTGGGAAGATCTATAAAAGAAATCTTTTTTTCCGTTATCAAGAAACATATGAAGAAGGATACTCTGTTGAAATATATATTAAAAAATTATGTTTTAATAAAAACAAGGTAATCTCTTTCTTGAAAAATGTAAGCTGTATTATTATCGTTACACGCAGTTTCTTTATACTTAACCAGATGTTTTGTAATTTTACAGTCTGTTCAGTGAATTTCATCATAGAGATATTTTAGGTATTATTATTATGAATGTTTATTCTGAAGAACAACTCAACGAGGTAAATTATTACATTGCCAACTTTTGTAGTTATTTACTGATTTCCTAAATGATTTTATATTTATCTTTGTGCACGTTTTATATATATCGGCTTGTTTTGATTGTGCAAAAGTGGATAATTATGTAACGACAAATTGTCATCATACTATAGACTGAGTTGCATTATTAATTATTGATAAACATATAAATTGTCTGTTTCAGATAGCAAATTTTATTGAAAAAAATTATGATATTATCCTTCATGATTCTGCAGTGATTGCGATTGATATTATTCTTGATCAACGAAGACTACAAATACAGCAAGTGCTAAAAACATTCGAAATGTTTTAAGACAGTAAACAAAAAACAGCATTTATAATAAGTCCAATCAACATAATGAGAAATAACAGAAATAATCGTTACGACAATCATTTGTAACGATCACATGTAACGATCAGAGCAAACGTATGTTTTCAATAAAAAATAATGTTTAATATTACCTTATAAAAAATCGTTATAACGTCCTGTTAAATATTTTGTCCTTACTGGGAATGTTTAGTGGCGGTTATATGATTTTTCTTAACAGTTTGCTTTAAACAAAAATTTAGTATATCATTTTGTTAGCTCACTAATTCGCGTATATATTTTACATGCGATAATAATAGTTTTATTTGGTTACTTATACATACGTATATACACACACGCACACACACAAACACATACACACATTTTTTCCCACATACAATATAATTCATCACTATAAAGTAAATTTCATAAAACATGTTTAATTGCTTATATTGAAAATGTTTATAATCTGTACTTTGCGAAGAAGAAACTAATCGTTCAGAAAGATTACCGATTAAATGAAATGAAAAGTTTTCTGATGATGATTACCCATCATAAGAATATCTGGACGGAGTATATATTGTTAATTTAGGCAAGTTAATGTACAAATTTACGGTAAGATGAAGATTATTTTAAATTTATTCAACTGGACTTATCATAATTTAGGTCACACGTATTTATTTTCCTTGCATCTATTTTATAATATACTGATAGTTTACAAAAAATTGACGTAGCAAATCTTTTCAAAGATGCTACTTCAGTTGGTTATAAATGTTTCTTCATGGTTTCATGGTTCGAATGTGAGTTGGTGTAAAGTCGGATATATCCAAAGAGATTGCGGCGAAAACACGCAACGCAATGTAACTTCCCTCTCTACCATTATCTAATTCCCCCTCATAGAACTAATTCCCCCTCATAGAACACTCCTTCTAAATATTCTCATATTGATGTTTATTCTTGTCACTTTGCACACAACAACACTAGGTATCGTCGTCAGTAGCGATCAGTCGAGAAAGTAAGACGCAACAATTTTAAATCTTCCTAAGAATTGAAAAGAACAGTTAAGTGTAATTAATTGACAAAACATGTTTTTCGCAAAAATTTGAAATACAAAGTACCATATCGGAAACAGGGAAAATAGTTCTTCTCTGAAGCTTTTCAAGGGCTCAGTAAGTATATTCAATAAAATATATTTAATCATAAAAAACGTACTACATAACGGACACACGTAGCTTTCTTATTCAAATATATTATTTCTGTAATTATTAATGACATCGTTGTGTTCTGCATATATATATATATATATATATATATAGCTTACAAGAGATTCGTGAATAAGAAAGCTATATGTGTCTGTCGTGTACGTTTATATATATATATATATATATATATATATATATATATATATATATAT